ATAGTAAATTTACGATTCAAGGTCTCTTGTAATTCTCTTGGAAATACGTTGCCTCTGAAATTCAGCATCACTTGTCATCAATCTCAACTATGTTTACTGATATTTTAACGACTTGCTGCTTTTATGGCCTTGACAAATCAGTAAACCAATATTTGGCTTTTTAATTACACTGCAAATTGGAAACAGTTGTATCTCCGCTCCCCACATAAATATTCCGGCTTCAACCGAACGTTTTTCATTGATATGAAAAACCGCTGATGAGTTGAAAAATTAAAAGTATTTCCACACACATTCGCCTTGAATTTTCTATCAAACACTCTTCTTCAATTGAAAGAAAAAATAAGAAAAAGATGTAATTGGAATTGAGTGTTCTGAAGACGTGAGTTGCTTAAATCCAGCGCGATTCTTTATCTGCCTCGTTGTGAAACTGGTTCGAAAAAAAGCAAGTTCATAAAATTTCATAAAAATTGAAAGAGAAATGATTGTTTAATGTAATCGTTGAATTGGTTATTCGGCGATGCCAGCCGTGAGCTGTTAAGCAAACGCAGTGATTATATTTTAACGAATTTTGGTTGATGATTTCCTTAGCGTTTGGGCATGAAAAGTGTTTTTTGTTAACAGACTGATCGTGACGTTAACAAATGAGCACAATCAGCATCAAGAGATGATCTGATTCAATCAAATTGCGTAACTGCGTAACTGATCTGTGAACACCACGATGAATGAGATGCTTGCCTTCACCATTACTATGCATTCCATCTTCATCTTGCACATTCTGTAAACAGTTCAGAATCTTGCGATACGAATATAATTTATGGATTCAAACGTAGAATGGCGTCCGGTTGGTAGAATGGATTCAAACGCTGATGTAAGCGTTCAAACGTTAGGGAAGATGATTGTCGGAATTTGGTTTCTAGCAATGCTGAATGGTGAAAAACTGCTGGTGGCATCAGCCACAATTGATCTTTCTTTTCTGGAGTTGTTTTCGCAAGATCATTTTTTTTTCACAGACGAAGAATGCAGTGATAAAGAATGCGCTATAAATCAACCAGTTCGATCAACGGGGAATAATTTGAGTTGGGTGCGGTTTTTTTTTTGAATTCTTCTCATGAAGCGAAGTGAAAAGAGCTCGTTTTGAAGAACATGCGCTATTAATTTTAGCATGTGTAAGAGATTCATGCTATGTTGATGGAACGCAGGTTTATCCTGCACAAATTACAACAAAATAATCGTAATAATTCACAACTCGTAGGTGAATAAATAATCTTTCCTCTCATTTGATTCCACAAAAACAGCATATCGATGCAATTATATTATTTGTTAGTGAGCTCACTAAGACGCAATTTGAGAACAGATTCAAATTATCAAGGTGTGATTGTTTGCAGACAAAAACCTACTTACTCATAAGTAAAAGAATGCGTGTTTTTGCCTTCTGTCGCACGCCAAAGTTGAATTATTGTGCAGAAAACTGACTGCATTGCTCTACAGGAACCGAGAATCAATCAAGTGTTTCTCACCATTCAATCAAATAATTTGAAGCAATAACTACACAATAAACGCTAGAAATTTCATCGAAATGGTCTGAATTTTATCCGATCTGAAAAATAGCACCGACGAGCATCACGAATTGCAATTGGAGACAAACAGAACCGGTAATGACTTTAATGAAACAAGATTAAACTTTTGAGAAAAATGATTGGTTGAATGTCACTCCGCTAACATCTGAAACGGTTATTCATCGAACTGGATTCTGAGCAGTAATCGTTTCTTTTCCTTTCGCCGAATTAAAAATCCACCTCTGAATCAGTCTATATAAACACCAACCACAAATTCAAGTCATCATTTGCAACTTTCGTTTTCCTCCATTCCAAATTCGCTCGTCTATCTTCAATCGTCAGTATGATGCCCTCAATGGTGAGTCTTCATTTCTTGTCCCAGAAAAACTAATCACTTGCCATCACTGGCACATTTCACTACTGCCATTTCCTGGCCATTAAATCTTCATATAGTTTCCTGAGTTTGATTCCTGAGCCATTGATATTTCAACGTCCATTTTCAAGCATTTTTCAAGCTCAACGTCATGCTCGATTTTAGTCATGCTCTTTCCTCGCTCTCCATAGCTTGAAAATGTCTGATACTAAGAATGTGGTGAACTCAAGTGAGAATCTATTGCACATTAGTCCAAAATACTCTTACATTTATCTATTTCGAATTTCAAAACGTGACTGAGGCGTTCGATCATCTGCACTGCAATTCTTGCTTTTCGAAAAATACATGCGGAAAACATTGAGGGAGGAATTCAAGGAATTAATCTTCTTGAATGATAGTTACCTTTGGGATGTGCTGGTTTTGTGAATTTGAAATACCAACAGCAAGTCATCTCGTCCTAAGAAAGTTATTCAAAAATATTAATAGACCGAACGGGAAACATTTCTCGCTCATCGAGCACATGTTACAATCAAAAGTGCTTGTTTGTCATCAGATCGCCCGGAACCATATGAAATTCCTTGAACTCTTTTAGAACAAATTAGATTAGTTTAAAAAATAATTTTGTTGATGGGTACTTTACTGGTGCTTATTGGAAGAATCGAATGCACTTGATGTCTGCTGATCACTTCACGATTGAATGCGATTGGTTGATGAAAATTACTGGAACAGCCAGCACCCAGTTGTTTTTGCCACAGAAAAATCTTCATAATATGGTTTGCGATTACCCACTTTTCACATCTCTTAGACGTGGAAATTGTCAAAGAGACCTCACCATCATCAAGTATGCGATTACATTGAGGAGAAGTAACCCTTCAGACCAATGGCCCAGCGATGTCAATTCCACTTGTTCTTTTGCTGGGTTCGGTTGGAATCGAAAGCTACCTTTGGGAATGAGACTGCATTATTCAAACGAAAACAATTCCTTGAATGCTCTGAAGTAGTCTTACAGTGCATTTTCAACAATTCCTGAAAAAGAACAGGAGTTTGCTGAATTTAGGCGTTGCTTGCTGGACTTGACAGAAATTCAGTGTATTTTGTTGATTCACTTTAGGCGACCATTAATCACTGTCGTTTAACGAAACTGCTAAAGAAATGAGAAACGTAAACATAAATCACAAATGCTTCAATAGCTTTCATAGTTTTAGTGAACGCTCACATCTAATTTGATCAACTCGCCAATAGTATTCGATTGAGAAATTCAATTCTAATCAGAATTTGATCAAAGATCCTTCAACAACATTTCTTTCTGTAGTTAGGTGTGCTCGTTCAATCAAACTAGTCTACATGAGCACTGATAGTGGAGTGATGGAATGTTTTTGCAAAAGTTGAGTAGTAAGAAAAAATCACGCTTTAAAATGATTCGAATGGAAGTTTCCTTCTTAATTTGATGAAAATCTGAAGTTGATTTGAAAATGACATCCCAAAAAAAGACACAGTAGTGATGGAGTGCGATGAATGAATACGAGCAATGAAACAAACGAATAGCGAATGATCTCATGAGACTCTCTCAAGTCTTCAGGATGACAGACTGTCGTATGCGCATGCACAGACAGGACACTCCCACCTACTTGAAGTATTATGAATGCATATAGTATTCCTAGTTTTGGACCTGTTGTTTTCTGGGTTTTACTCCCGTATAAATAGCTGCTAAACCGAAACATTTTCTTATTCATTTCATTCATTTCGTGGCAGTGTTCTCAGTACTCTTCTACGTCCTCCAATCATGTATACGGTAGGTGCTGTCATTGATTTGCTATTCACCCGCAAACTTCATTTTTTTAAGGATATTACTGATTATTTTTGCAGTTTTTAGTGATCCTTCAGGAAAGTTTTCAGGCCAGCTTGATAATTTTTTGCTTGCGCATTGTGTTTTGAAAGAAAAGCTAGATTATTTGCATTATCGGCTATTGTCTATCCTCACTCTTCATGGTTTGCTCTATTATTCTGCGAATGTTCATACACAACAAGAAATATAGCTGAAAAATATGACTTCAATTGCTTAGCGTGACTCTCCTCGATAGCACGCAGAAGCAAAAAATTGTCATGAACAACACCGATGAAACGATTGCGTGTATGTCTTAGAGAAACAAAATTGTTCGTGGCACCGATAGCTCTCATGATTTGATTCGAAGTAAAGCATTCAGACGTTTTATGCTGCTCAGCTACCGCGTATCGCTGGCAAAATTCGATGATAAAAGTTCAAAGATCTTTTTTTTTGCTCTGTTATCAGAAGAGGTGCTGACGAAAAGCAAGTTCAAGCATAATCTTTGAAGAAGCCCACCGCGTTTGTTTATGAGAACTGAATGCGACTGTAAGCATACGTAGACGCTAGATAGCCTCTCGGTTTCGCTGCAACTCGATGCTGGCTGAATCAACAACGGTTTCTTATTTGTGCCACTGTGTAATCACATCCAACTCTTACAATTCTTTTGAGGAATGAACTAATTTGCTTGAAATAAATTCGTTTTGACTAACACATTCCAATTGGTTTTGCCTTTGCTGATGTTTGATCAATTTGGTCTCTAATTCTTAATCTTTGGTATATGTTTTATACTGTCAATCATTAACGAATCTCATCTTTTTTTACGCCGTTGCTCGTAAAAGAACATTCCAAAATGTCGTTAATGCATCCTCTCTAAACCTCTCCCTATCTGCTCTAAATGAGACATCTTAAAAACTATCAAAAGACACCTGTCTGCTTGTTACATGAATGATGAAATACATCTCATGCAGACGATGCATTTTTTTGAATCAATGAAGAGGCATTGAACCATTCATTTCAGATAAAAATTGTTACTGATAATGAGCAATTCTGAATAACAGAAAGCGTATTCGTTGAACAGAATTGATAATAATCAATGCAATAAGTTTTTTCTGCAGGAAAAGCAGAAGTTTACACGAAAAGTACAACATAATCAGTGCAATAAGCAGTTTCTTAGATAAGCATGAAACGTGTCAGTCAATAAGCAAACTGCAAACGTGTTCCATTTCAGAAATTGTTGCTGGTACTTATGCTCGTGATCACACCATGCCTTTGCTGCTCGGGTGGTGGCGGATGTTGTTGCTGCATGAGAGGCTCAAAGAATTTGCCAGCGTTCGGTAAGGCTATACCATTAGGCGGTAAAGCTCTTCCAATGGCCGGTGGAAGTGGTGGTGTCGCATTAATGGCCGGAGGTCAGCCGAAAGGATTCATTGCACCACATGGTCTTGTTGGGAGTGCATCGCTAACCGAAAAATCTAGCAAAGTGTACGTTTCGCTTTCCATAAACTTGAATTTTTCGCTCAAATGAATTTTACCAGATCGTTTCCTTGATTCATCAGGCGCACACTGCGAACAGCTACTTCCGTAACGCTTGGTGAGTTTCCGTCGACGTTTACTGGGCTCTGTGATGCCTGATAGCATGCGCGCATTGCAGAAATGATCATTAAGAGAGCGTTGAGAACATGAAAACATGAAATGAAATGAAAACATGAAATGTGTTATATGAAAGCGAAAAACCCTGGATTGAATTGCTTCGGCTTGATGCAATCATACAAATGCTATACAGACAGCTCAGAAATATTTCCGGTCACTAAAACCTGCTCTGAGTGGAAGTACATCGTTTTGCACATTTTAACGATGTTACGTACGGTATTGTTTGTTCACCAGAAAAGTTGTTGTTCGCTGTTGATGTTATTGCCGTTAGGATACTAGTCCAAGTTTGTTGAACAACTGTCTCAAGTTCTTCATGCCTGCAGACATGTCNAAAAAAACAAAAGATCAGATATTTTCAATGAACTTTTAGAATCTGACTGGATTTGCTTGATTATCGGTGAAAGCAAGCAAGCATCATCCATCAAGAACCGAAACCATAATCAGTGACGATCAAAACACTGAAACGTTCACCTCCAAATTGCAATTAATCTCTTCCATTTGAGGTGCTCATAAACTGCCAATATGAAGTTTTTGTCTGCTGCTGATTTTTCTTTAGAGTTGAACTTTTATACGTCCTTCCTCTCAACTCATGTTTCAACAGTGACAATATCTTCATTTCATTTATTTGAAGGAAGTAATTTGTTTCAATAATGAAACAAAAAGATCAAACCGTCAGACTCATAATATATTGAACTACAGTCTTCTTTGTTAATTGAATGCCTCACCTTCCTCATCATGATATATCAGCATAATATTTGCAATTCGTAATGCGATTACAGAATAAATTTCATTAAAAACGAATGTCTGTCTCATTTGCTTACGCTTAATAATGTGACATTTAAAAACTAGCACAGAACTGCTTGTTGCGGTTACACCTTCATTGCCAAAAAACCAGTTTTGTTTTCATGCACAATTGTTGCTTCTGCTGATGCTCAAGTGCAATTGAGATGACNTCTTTATATGGGAGGAAGTAGCTGTACAATTAAACTCACTCAATATTACGTCAATATAATTAGTCGCAAACAAATTGTTTTGCTGCTCTTTAATTGGTTTTGCATCAAATAAACTGTACTAATCACTTTCGAAGCATCAAAAAACAAGTTTCATTCACACTTCGAAGCGGACAAATCAAACGTTACACACTCAATTCCATTAAGATCGTTGCATGATCATTGCTCAGTTCAACTTCGTACAAAAAACCTTCTACAACTCTCAACTAATTATTATATGGCTTTTGATAGAGATGAGATTGCAATATAAACTGAGACACTGCAAACTGGTGCGTGAGTCTCCTCAGCAAGTGTAACTGAATTTGTTTAAAAATGAATGTTAGATTATATGGAAGCTGATGTATGGAATGGATAGGATGCAAAACGGATAAGACTAGAGGAATACTCTCACAATCAGATGAAGAAAGCCTCCGCATTCAGACCTGTTCGGGAAGCTCTTTTTTTTTGATATCCACTGAAATATATAATACTTCAAAAAATTACGTTTTTTCCCAATTTCCATCCATCAATTCATCTCAGACTGACAATATGTTCGGCCTTTCATCGATGGACTTGTTTGTGACGCTAAACGACGATGCTTGTTCTTTGAGGTTATGAAATGATCGAAACAGATGAATTTTGGGCTGCATGAATATCTTGCAACGTACTGTTTTGAGTGTCATTCAGAATTTGCTGTTGAAAAACCTCAAGGGAGTCGCCAAATGAATTGCGAATCGTTCGCAATTAGTGAGAGAAGTACCTCATGGTGTCTGTTGACGAGTCTCACCTAAATCGAAAAACTTATAAGTCATCGCTTATCGCGATTTAACAATTGGAAAAAAAA